CTAATTCATTTTCTTGTTTCAATATCATAATATTACAATATGCAGGTAACACCCTCTGAGCATATATTGCCTTCTTGGCTTAAGAGTTGCCAGTGAATGTATGCTTTCCCTAACCCTTTCAGAATCCCCAACCCCTGCCCAAGGTTACTCAAATATCACAAACATTTCACACCATGCAAATGATGGGCCTTATGTGGAAAGCACCGGGCAGGACAAAAGAACCAGCATGACTTAACCAAACCCACAGATACCCTCAAGGGAGTTACCACTCCTTCTTTATTTCCCTTCTCTCCCTCGGATTCCAAATATTTTCTCTTTATAAGGAAAACTGGAAATATATTAACAGTAAGTTTTTGTTAACTGAGGTACAATGGAAGATCTCGATGCACAATGGATGCACTACTAAAATCACAGTGGAAAACGTTGGTAAAGTCCATAACCAGATCATTCTCAAAAAGAGTAGTACAAAATTCTACCAAACATAAGAAAAATATTCAATCTTATTGGAGATAAAAGAAATACAAAAGTAAAATAAATGTGATGCTTTTATTTTGCTATCAAATTGGCGGATTACTTTTTTAAAACATAACACTTCACTAATGGATGCCAAAATTACCGGGTGGAAATATGCAGAGAAGCAAGATATTTATAATGCTGTAGAACATCAGTCTACCAGATACTTACTAATTACAAAGAGAAAAATAGTAACCAGGAAGACATCTCCTTAAAGGTGTTTAAAATCACAGGCAATGGAATAAATCAACAATATGTACCTCCTGGTATAAGGCAGTAGGACAGACACGATATCTTGCTTATGGCATTCCTACCAACAATACAGAAACTGAATGTAATCATGGGAAAAATCAGTCAAACCCATATGGAGGGATATTATACAAAATAACTGGCCTGGACTCTCCAAGTGTCAAAGTCAGAAAAAAACAAAGACAGATCGAGGAACTTGTCCAGATTGGGCTAAAGAGCCAAGTCAACTTATGACATGCAATTTATGATTCTGGATTAGGGGCTAGAAGAGCAAAAGGATGTTAGTGGAACAATTACCAAAATTTGAATAAGGTCCATAGGTCCATAGATTACATAATATTTATACCTTTTGATAATTATACTGTGATTATGTACGATGCTCACATCAGGAGAACATGGGCCAAGAATTTTTGGAACTATTTTTGTAAATTTTTAAAAGTTGGAAATTAATCAACAAATGGGCAAAGGAAATGAACAGAAACTTTTCAAAAGAAGACAGAATAATGGCCAGAGAACATATAAAAAAATGCTCAACATCTCTAATCATTAGAGAAATGCAAATCAAAACCACAATGAGATATCACCTAACCCCGGTGAGATTGGCCTCTATCAAAAAATCCCAAAACAACAAATGCTGGCGAGGATGTGGAGAGACAGGAACACTCTTAAACTGCTGGTGGGACTGCAAATTAGTGCAACCTCTGTGGAAAAGAATTTGGAGATACCTCAGAGAGCTAAAAATAGAAATACCATTCGATCCAGCAATAGCACTATTAGGCATCTACCCAAAAGAGCACAAAACATTCTACAATAAAGACATCTGCACCCGAATGTTTATGGCAGCACAATTCACTATTTCAAGAATGTGGAAACAACCCAAGTGCCCGTCAATCCATGAGTGGATTATTAAAATTTGGTATATGTTTACAATGGAATATTATTCAATCATAAGAAACGACAGTGATCTAGCACCTCTTATACTTTCCTGGATTAAACTTAAGCCCATTATCCAAAGTGAGGCACCACAAGAGTAGAATGGGATCCACTTGTACTCGCCATCAAATTGGTACTAACTGATCAACACTAGGTTGATCACATGGCAGAAATACTCTCTAGGGATTAGGGGGATGGAGGGACAAATCTACAACTAAAGGACACGGGGAGCACTAAAGGGAGGGAAGGGCATGCCTTTAACCCGCACTTGGGTGAGGCAAAGACATAAAGTGTAACTATAATGTTTGTATCCTCACAATACCCTGGAATTAAAAAAAAAAATTAAAAATAAAAAGAATTAAAGATAATACTTGATGCTGCTCTTTATTCGTAACCCAAATGTTCATTAACAATACAGTGGATAAATTGTCATATATTCATGCAATGAATACTACACAGTATGAAAAATGAAAACACTGCCGCTGCTCCTCCTATACGATTCCATTTATGTGAAGTTCAAGAAGAGGTGAAACTAATTCATCGTAATAGAGGGAAAAATAAGTGTTTCCAGGAATGAGAGTGGTATTGAGTAGCAGGAGGCTGAAGGAAACTTTGGAGTTTCTGGAATTGTTTTATGTCTTCATTTGGTTGGCTGAGGATGTAGACACATAGTCAAATTTATCAAGTCATAGTACGCTTAAGATCTGCACATTTACTATATGAAAGTTATAATAAATAGGAATAAAACTAACAAAAGAGGGTAATACTAAATGCTGATGTTGGGCCAGCCACCTTGGGATGCTATTGGGAGCAATAATTGACATACATTTTCCAAAAGGCAATTTGGCAGTAAATGCGAAGCGAAAGCGTGAAAAACTCTGAAGTAAGCTTGTCGATATCTGGACTCAAGTTTGAGATATAAACATTGAAACAATCTAAATACATATATCGGGAAATAGTTTTTTAAAAGGTATAACCATATGATGAATTATTATGCAACTATTAAAATTATATAAATTAAAGAATATTCAATGATGTGGGAAAGTGCTCATATGAGTGAAAAAAGCTAATTCCAATATTGTATGTATGTAGCATGTTCATAACTTAAACATTCTATATGTGCAGAGGAAGAAAAGGAGGCAATACTCTAAAATGTTCATGGTATTTTTCTCTGGGGTACAAAATTATAACGGGATTTTGGTTTTCTTCTTTATACTTTTTGGTGTCTTCCACTATTTTCTGACATAAGTATGTATGTACTAGTTAGAAATTACAAAAATTAATTTCAAAAAATTTGGTATCTTCCTAGCTAAAAATCGGCCAAAGATCAAAATTCAGAAAGAGAGAAAAAAAGAAAACTGACCAACTTCTAACAGAGCCTTCTTTCCTTTGTCATCCTTTTAACAAAATATTTGATGTTCTATTTCATAGTCACCTTTTAAGTCATCTTTCACCTAAGCCCTTTCTCTGCCAATTAAGGCTTGGCCTTTTTGAGCTCCCAACATGTTATCCCCAGGAGGCTTCTTATTACCATCATCTCCTCTTCCTCCTACCTACAGGAATCCCTGCCTTGACAGGCTGTTTCCCATAAAATTCTATGGAAACAAAGCTTTTGTCATTTGGATAAATCAAAACATACCTGGAGATTACAGAGAGGGCATTTCTCAGGAAGGCGCGATTACCAAATAAACAGCATGAACAAAGGCAACAATCAACTGGGTGTTTTGTTTTTGAATTAAACAATAGGGGTATAACACTGCTAGTGAACATTTGGGGGTAAGATTTAAAACAGTTCATGGAAACCACTGCCCCCTTTCCCAAGATTTCCAAGCCCCATCCTCAAGATCTTAGCTGGCTGATGCCTGCATTTTCTTTTCATCCACCATGGTCTAAACCTAAGGATTTTTTTCTTTGTTTTTAAAATACTTTGCCAATTGGTCCATACTATGCTTGCAACAAGAAGTATGAAAATGTGAGTCACATACCCATACATTGAGACATCACATTATGCCCCATAAATATGTACAATTATTATGCAGCAATTATAAAAAAGATCTACTAAAAAATATAAATTGGTTTTGGCTGGAGTTTTCAATATTTCATTTTTTCAATATATGGAATGTATCTCACCAGGCAAGAAGAATAATAAAAACCAGTGGTTGCCCCAAATTTTAGCATTTTCATAGATTCCTAGCATAGATAGGAGTGCTCTCAATGTGTTGCCTGGAAACAGCAACAGTGTTTTTTCCCAAGAAAATCTCCTGCTAAATAAAATGCAAGAATGCCTTTGCTCAAGACATAATTCTTATCGAAACCACAGAGGATTTAATCATTAACAAAAACTATAACAACAGAAGTAAAAGTGCTTTTTCAAAATGTAAACGTCTTGACATCTTAATTATAAGTCAAGAAAGTTAAAATTAGACTAGGCTTGCTGTCAACGGCCTTTCTAAAACATAGTAATTGAGCCACACTATTAAGCTTGACAGATGCTTCACCATGAACTAACATTTAAGCAATACCTAAATTCCCTTCACGGTGTCTATCAGAAGAAGGCAAAGCAATTAAAAAGTTATTCATTAATCAAAACCCTATATCAGTTTCCTGGATAAAAAGGAAGGAGCCAACGCTGAAAAAAAAATCATCAAGCTAAATAAAAGAAAACACAATCGGGTAAAGTGTTCAGGGATAAAATTACCCCTTCTGCGAGAGGAGAGAGATCGCATTTCTGCCAAGTAGGAAAAGAGCAGGTTTAGCACTCCCTTCAAGCTTCCATTCAAAGGCAGTATGAAGTACCTGCCGGTGCTCCAGGCACGGGTTAGGCCGGGAGGGCACACAGGTGAGCGGGAGGGCTCTAACTTCAGTTCCTGATTATTCTTCCCCAGTACCTACCATTGACAACTAAACAAAAGTGATAGAAATAATGACCTAATTGCAGTTATGTGCAAATCCTGCAAAGTAGTAGGGACCAGCACATTCGGGCTGCACAAGGAGACTCACACAGGTCCGCTCCAGTGAAAACGGTTTGCATATGATTCCTCAGAAAGTAAAGAAATGGCACCCACAGCCACACAGCCAGTTCCTTTCCCAAGGTCCCCCCCAGAACAATTCTACCCTGAAATTCGACAATCCCTCTAGCAGCTCATGCTCAGAAGTGGAATCTACCATACTCAAGTATCAGCTGCTTTCTCCACTCTGAAATTTTTCTTCTGCTTTGATCGTTTCTGCAGACTTTTTCCTCTCCTCTCTACCTTGGGCTTCTGTGCTCTAATTGCTTTTTCCATCTTGAGGCTTCTGTTTATGGCCTCCCCCTTTTCTCTGAGGTTTGGTAGAACTCTACCACTTATGCCCCTGTGTCTGGGTCTTACATTCAGGCTCCCTAAAGGGAGTAATCTGACTGTTAGTCACTATTGCATGTCCGATATGCAACATATTAATTGGATGAAGTTCTCACGCCATAAAATGCTGACCAGCCAATGGAAAGCTGCCTTTCAATCAAGGGCTGATCCCTGACCCAATCAGCTTGCAGCCATAATGACGGGGTCCCATGACTCAAGACATGGCAACCTATATCTTAAGAACGCATTTGTGCTCTCTCCCCCAAGGCTCTATGGGTAGAAGTGACAATACAAGTATCATGAAGAACCCAAAACAGACATTAAAGCTTGATTTCATATTAGTCCTATGTTTATTGCCATTTGATTCCAACATCACCGTTTCCTAGAGGCTTCAGCACTAGGGTCCCTCAATACCCATGCAGGCATCCCCGTCAATCCCACACTCTTTCCCACTGAGCACAGAGACACCCTGAAATCCCTTCTTTACACAGTGCTTCAAGTTGCCAATTCTGATTTTGCACGTGGGATGAAGCTGATTTGCCAACCCCCTGTCTGTAGGATAAGTCCAAATTCTGCAGTAAGCCACATTAAGGCTTCAGCCTAAGACTCTGGCTGTAGCCCAAAACTTCAGCTGTATTATCACACCAATTTCCTTGCAAACGTGTGCTAGACAGTCTCCATTTGTCCTTCCAGGTCCACTCTCCACCTTTCTCCAGGGAGGCTGACCTTTATGGCCTGTATCAGCCAGGCTCCCAAGCTCCCTGGCTTCTGATGGGATTTGGCTAAAGGGGTGCAGGGTTTGAGAGTGGGCACATGGGGAATGAGCTTGACATATATTTCCCCCACTCCTCCCTGCCCGGCTGAGGCTGCCTTTTCTACTAACAGCCTCAGCTGCTCTCCAACATCTAAGCTCTTGCTGGATCTAGGCTTACTCCTGCTTCTTGCTTTTTTAGCCTGGAGTTACTTGCTCCAAGATGCTTCATTTTCCTGTTTTAGTTTCCCTCCACCCGACCCTGCTTACATCTTTATAAAAGGTCCCATCTCTGAACTCCCTTCAATTACCTCCACCTTTTAAAAGTTTTAAATAGACGATTTTTTAGAACAGTTTCAAATTTACAGAAAAATTTAGAAGATGGTAGAGAATTCCATACATTTCCATCCTTCCCAGATACTTTGCAGCCATTTACCCCTATCATTAACATCTCACACTAGTATGGTACATTTGTTACAATTTTGGCACATCATGGTTAACTGAAGTCCATACTGTATACAGACATCCTTAGGTTTACCTAATGTCCTTTTTTCTGTTCCACGGGCCCATCCAGGATATCACATTACGTTTAGTCATCATGTCTCTTCAGGCTGCCCTTGACTGTGACAGTTTCTCAGAATTTCCTTGTTTTTGATGACCTTGACAGTGTTGAAGAGTACTAGTCAGGTACTTTGCAGAATGTCCCTCAACATGTATCAAGAGTATATAATTTCAATATGCACCAAGAGAACATACTATCAGCATGACTTACCACTGTTGATGTTAACCTTGATCATCTGGCCGAGGCAGTGTCTGCCAAGTTTCTACACTGTAAAATTACTTTCTCTCCTCTTTCCATGTTGCACGCTTTGGAAGGAAGTCACTATGTGCAGCCTGCATTTAAGAATTAGGGAGCTATGCTTCACTTCCCTAAAAGTGTAGTAGAGCTTATATTCTTTTTATTTTTTAACTGAGGTAAAATATACATAACATTTTACCATTTTAACTATTTTTAAGTGTTTCAATTACCCTTGTTAAGTAGGCCAACTATTTCCTGCTGAGACTCGGATGATACTCAAGCTGAACTTGTCACCATTAACCAAAAATGACATGTGTCCTTATGTTTTAGCATGGGACAATGCTAGGTAAAAGAAAGACCTTCTCCCATTTTTGCCTATTTGACTCCTACTCATTCTTTAAGCCCCAACTCAAGACTTCATGGGCTCCTCTAGGGAAGGCAAGTTACTCCTGCTACTATCTCCCTGTCCCTGTATTCACACTTTTATTCTAGTATTTTTTGCATTGCACCATTTTATTTGGGCTTTCCCAGGGCAGAAGCTAATTTTTATTTTTCTTTATATCTCTAAGGCTGAGGACTATCCCAGGAATATAATAGCTAATCAATAAATGCCGGTTGGAAACGAAGGAAGCAAAAATGAGCGGAAGCAGAAGTGGCCTATTTTCTCCAAAGATTAAACAGAGTATTACTACCTAATATTGGTGAGGGTGTGGGAACACTTGCCCTCATAGTTGTTTATCCTAGCACACCCTTCTGTTGGGCAATTGGCAATATCCATTAAAAGCCATAATATATGCATATTTTTCACTTAGCAATTTCAAGTCTGGAAATTTTATCCAGAAGATAAAGACATGCAGAAAGATAGTCATACAAAGACATTATTTTTAATGCAAAAACTGGAAGCAACCTAAAGGCCCAGGAACTGGCCTACTAAATTATAGCGTATCCATGCTATGAAGGAATACATAGGCATTAAAAATCAGGCCAAACATTACCTGAGTGATTATCTTTGGGAATGGTATCATGGGCATGGATTTAACTTTTTGGTTTTCTCCCCCAAGTTTTCTCTTGTGAACAATGACATCTGTAACTGGAGAAAAAAATGATCAAATGTATATTTACAAAGCGGTTCATTTTGCCACTTTAGACCTGAACATCCAACTAAGGATAATCAAAATTTGAAGTCTACTGAGTGTGGTGGTGTGTGCCTGCAGTCCCAGTTACTCATGAGGCTGAGCTGGGAGGATTGCTTGAGCCCAACAGTTTGAGACCAGCCTAGGCAATACAGCAAGACCCCATCTCAAAAAATAAAGAAATCAACATTTTTTTTAAAAAAACTTGAAGTTTGACCTGTTGGCCAGTTTAGCTATGATGAAGCCAAAATGTCACAGCTGCCATGACCTCTGCCTCCAGCCTCTGCCATCCTCATACTGAACACACTAAGGGCGATGGGTCCCAGGAAAAGAGAATCCAGAGCTTCCCACCTCCATATCCCAGCTTATCTGGGCCTCACTTCTGACCTGGTCCCTGACCATTGGTTTTTTGTTTGTTTTGTTTTTAAAGCTCCTTTTAGTGACTGTAAGGTAGAGGCATGGTTGGAAAACTATTGTCTTTTCTAGTCTGCCCATCTTGCAGATGCAACAACTGAAGCCCAGAGAAGTCCAAAATGACATGGAGACAGAACCAGACTCAGGTTTCCTAATTTCCAGGATGTATTGCTGGGGTTTTCTTGTTTTGTTTTGTTTTGAGACAGAGTCTCGCTCTGTCACCAGGGCTAGAGTGCAGTGGTATCAGCCTAGCTCACAGCAACCTCAAACTCCTGGGCTCAGGTGATCCTCCTGCCTCAGCCTCCTGAGTAGCTGGGACTGCAGGTATGCACCATCTAATTTTTTAGATGGCACACGCCCAGCTAATTTTTTCCATTTTTAGTAGTGAGGGGGTCTCACTCTTGCTCAGGCTGGTCTTGAACTCCTGAGCTCAAGGGATCCTCCCACCTTGGCCTCCCAGAGTGCTAGGATTACTGGCATGAGTCACCGCACCCAACCCAGGATATATTCTTTGCACTTTAGCAATCCAATAAAATCAAGGGTGGGGTTTTGTAGATTAACACATTTAGAAAGCCCCAAATATTTCAAGAGGGAAACTAGGAGTGTAGACTTCTAAAAACAACCTTTCTTTGATTCTCTTCCCAACCCAAATTTAGAACTATATCTGAGCAGTTATCAAAAAATATTGAACATAATGATATTTGGAAAGATTAGCTCTAGTCTAACGTAATGATGGGGAAAGGAACTGCAAAGTCTAACTAATAAAACTATATTGGGCTGGGCGCGGTGGCTCACGCCTGTAATCCTAGCACTCTGGGAGGCCGA